CCTTCCTTCCTTCCTTCCTTCCTTCCTTCCTTCCTTCCTTCCTTCCTTCCTTCCTGTGGCAGTATATCCCTGCTGCCCTGAAACTTTATGAGGCCAAAGTAATGGCATAAGTTCTTTATGGTGTACAATGCCAGTGAAGAGCAAACAATCTAGAATTTTAAGATCAAAATCTACTGATTTCTAAACGGATCTCCAATGTTGCATAAGATTCGAATCGGGTGTTGCAAGAATGGAGGCCTAGATCTGTATTGTTATAGTCCAGAAGAGTTTCACTCAAGGTTTTAAACTCTGGCAACTTATTGGTCCCCTCATTTAGTAGTTTAAGATATGTTTATTGTATCTGGTGTAATTCTTGCCTCTCTTTCATTTTCCCATTTGTCCTTACTTGTCTTCATTTTTCTTAAGGATCTTAATTTTCCCCTATTTCAGCAACAGGATTATGAGATAAAATTGTTTTCTATTTTTTCTCAAGTTCAGAAAGTTATACAAGTGACACTGACAAAGAAGTAAAACAAATAACAAATTGAGCAAAATTTACTAAGGACCTGCTATCCCACCTGCATCTTGAGTCCTCCCCGCAGAATGTTTATTTGTTTGTTCATTAACTTGAGCTGACATTATCCAATAAATTAAACTAAATTAAGAGTGCTCTTGCCTATGTGGGGTATTTTGATTATTTTGTATCATTATAATCTTTTGTTAATTGTTGCTTTTATCTGCTTTTAATATTGTATGCTGCCCAGAGTTGTTTTGAACTGGGCACCCTTATAAATCCAATTAAATTAAATTAAATTAAATTAATTTAAATTAAATTAAATTAAATGACATCCAGAGACTGGTGATTGGCTTAAAACTGATTTTCAACTCTTAAACCTCCTAAAGTGAAAATAAAGGGTCTTAGACACTTGATATCATCTAATAAATTTGGAGACACTGAGAAAAACGGAGTACAGGTAGTCTTCACTTAATGACCACAATTGGGACCAGAATCTCAACTGTTGAGTGAAGCGGTTGTTAAATGAGACACCCATGTGACTGCTTTGCTCAATGACCGCAATCTGGGCACTCCCAGTTGCAGTCGTTAAGTGATCTCCTGGGTTGTTAAGCAGTTGGAGTGAAACAGCTGCCTGCTAAAGGATTTCAGCTCCATGTGGACCTGAAATCCTCCCGGTGGGCAGGCCTCTCGCTCTTGAACATTGCTGCAGCCCACCAAAGGGTTGCATGGAAGGGAGGGGAAACCCTTTGTGGGGCTGGAGGAACAGGGCTCAAATCCTAAAAACTGTTCCTGCAGACCACAGAAGGATTTCAGTTCCCCTCTGTCCCCTCCACTTGCAACCTTCCCTGCTGGCTTCCCCATTGACTTTCTGGGGAAGCTGGCAGAAAAGATTGCAAATAGCGATCACATGATCACCCGGCACTTGGCAACTGGTTGTAAATGTGAGCTGATTGCCAAAAGGCCAAATGACCATGGGAAGGAGGGTGATGTTTTACGACAGCTGGAAGTGCTTTATGGGCCATAAAGCACCCTTTCCGAGGCCATCGTAACTTCAAACTATCGTTAAACGGTCATTTAACGAGGACAACTTGTACAGGCCAATCATGGAA